GTTGGCAAAGGAATTTCAACATGATGCAAATTTGGCAAGATGCAGTTTGGGATTTTGATTTCTGAGGGAGCAGAATTTCTTTCTGGTTGCATTATACCATTATTATCTGCAGCTCCATTTTTTAGCCCCTGCTAATTTATTTCTTGCTTTTATAATTTACCCACATAATTATCTAAATATAAATTTCCCTGAAACAGGTCTCAGTATTCAGCCCTTAAAATGAATCCACTCTTTAGAACTGAAAACATTAGTTTCTTCCTGAGTAATGTTTGATTTTTTTTCTGTACTGACTGGCTTCTGAACACAGTGGCTGATGGTAAGCTTTGTCAAGAGATGCTGAGATATAAAGAACAACAGGTTACCTTATAATCTCTTCTTGTTAATGCCTGTTCTGGAGAGCACCTGCTGTCTTTAAAAGGGATTTGAGTGACCCAAGATTAAGAAGTCTCCCTACAACAATTACTGTTCTTATCACTGAAGAATACTCATACCAATGTGACATCTTCCTGATGGTTTCAAATCCACAGACTGAGGGAGAGATAAGAGTCAAAGAACCATACAGTGCAATTATAAGATGACATCAAACCAGTCCAATACAATTCCATTTTGGAGAAGAGTAAAGCTAACAGACTAATTGATTTCTGCCTGAGAAGTAACTATTAGGACAAAATAGCCTCTGATTTCATTTAAAGAATTTTTAAAGTGCAATAGTGCCTACAGTATTTCTAATCAACTTTCTAGATCATCCTTAATGTGCAAATAACATAAGGGGCACCAGGAAGTTAAATGAATCACACGATCCAACACTGGCAATGATTCAGATAGGATATTAAAAGTCGAGACTACTATCATCTGTATGCCTTGCTACCTCTTTGATTTAAAAGATACAAAAGTATAACTTCTGTTCTTATGAAGTCAAGACTGTGATATAAGTAAAGAATCTTCTGCCGCGACACCCATCATAGTATGTCCTTTACCCCCAAAACATTTTTATAAGCCTGTTTAACCACTGAGCTCATCACTTGTACTGACAATGTCTGTGCAAAGCTGTTGAAATATTATCCAAAAGTCATAAAACTTTGAAACATTATTCAAAGCCACTAATATTTTGAAAATTAATGTGGAAGGGTGAAATTTTCAAAAAAATTGTACCCATTGAATCTGCCCATCTTTCCTTCTTTCCAACACTCCAGATACAAAAAAAGGACATGAACTGTAATTTTGTTTCTCCTCCTCTCCTACCCTCAACTAAGGATCCTTCAGATGTCTTTGAGAAATAGGGAAAAAAAACCTCAAACCTAAATATCAAATAGTCCTCTTTCATACTAACTGAGAAAGTGAACCTGCTAGGAACCTTCCTTTTTTCAGTCTGAGGGCATATTTAGGTCTCCAGACGACCAGTGTTCTAGGTTAGAGCGGTAATGTTTACATCACCTAATTTGTTTACATTGTATGTGAACCAGAATGGAATTTACCTAGTTTTATTTCCAAGTAGAGAAAAGACTTGTGGAACTCACAAACTGGTTAGAAACAAAAATTCTTTATTTCAAATCGGATGCAAAAGAGAAGTTTGCCAGAAGACATAAGTAACACGAGGCAACAATGACAAAGGGGAACTGAAGATTGATATCCTGGATAATATGTGATGGAAAGCCAAGATGGCAGTCTGCTACAGCTGTACCAAGTCAAGAAAGCAAAATTATCTGACGTCAATTCACTTGGCTGTGTTTAGAATACCTCCAGTGGAAAAGAACACATTTCACTGCTTATAAGCTCTCTATTTATAAATGTATTAGAGTATTTTGTGCTAATAACAAAACTGAAAGGATAATCTCAATATAACTTCAGAGCACATTATGCACAGCTGTCTTCTTGACTGTAGAACACCTGAAATCCATTGATTATATCCATAGTGGTTAAAAAAAAAAAAAAAAAAAGTACAAACAGCAAACAAATTAATTAGTAAGCTGGAGCATGCTGTCAAAAGCTAGGATGGATAAACACTAACTTTATTGGGGTCTATGCATCCAAAATCTCAATGAATATTATGTTTCCAGCACTGCAGAAATTGTGCCAGCTACACTGTGGACCCCAGTGGTACATGGTGATCTACTAAAATAGACAGATACAAGAAGGTAGACTTCTGTTTGTCTGTATTGGACATAGAAATCCAGGCTCTTTCAGTGATCCACAGATCAGTTATTATACAACAAATCCCACCAGCTCCTTCACAGCTTGCTCAGCTGCTGTGTCACTCTGTAGTCAAAAAGCCTTTAATCTTCAGGCTGACATGGGCGCAATGAGTCTACAGACTAAAATTTCATACACAATTTGGCTGAAAGCTAATTACTGCCTGTAATTCTAGCTGCTTTCCTCTGAGTAGAAGAATATGGGGACAAAATCAAATGCTCTGCTTTTACTGCTTCATGTTTTGTGCTACAAACTGCAACTGTGAAAACATTAGTACAAAAATAAAGCCATTTCTATGTTTCAAAATTATAAAAGATTGTCAGATAGTCATAAAATGCTGCTGGTCAAGAACAATTGCTCAAGATATATGCTTAATTTACTCGAGATTAAAATTCTGTTCTCCAGGTTCCCATCTGAGGACATGTTTTTACAATTGTTTCCAGTGAAATGTGCATTTTCAGATCTGAGCAACAGTCCTTAAAATGGGGCTTTGTGATACTGAAAATGAACCCACTAAAGGCAATTAGGACACAAAGCTTTATATGTGTGTGCAACTCCTGAAACCCAATGGGACTGTTCAGATTGTGCAAAGTGAATAACATGAGTCAGCCTTTGCGGGACTTGGGACTTCAGTGTTACATCATTACTACAATTACAATATACTATTTAAAATTCAAGCAAAAATAAAGATTGGTCTAAGTGAGAACGGTTGTTCATTAAGTAGAATAGATCAAGCAGAAGGAAGTAAATATGACAAGGGAGCCAGAAAAAACAGCAGTAAAATCAAAGGATGTGAACATGCATATAGCATGACTTACCACAGGCAAAAAGAAAAAAAAATCCAAACAAAAAAACTCCAAAACAAAACAAAACAAATTACAAATAAGCAAAGAAATAATGGGTTTCACAATCCAATAATCAGGGTGAAATTATGACTTAATAAGGAAAATTATATTTTCCAAAAGTCACATTTGTGATGTACAAGATATTTGAGGCAGATCCATACATATATTTTTAAAAATGGCAAACCACAGCTTTCAACAACAAAAAGCCTTTTCATAATCAGAGAATGGTATAAGAAATCTTACTGAAACAGTTGCACTGTCTTCTGTCACAATATCCTTTAATGACAAATTATGCTTCAAGGTGAAAGCCAAGTCAGTTCAGATTCTTATTCTGAATTTCCCCATAGGAATCCATATCTTTCTCTCTCTTCTGACTATAGGTAAACCCTCACAAGTTGGAAACCCATAAAGTAAAGTCACCCCTTCTATCTTCTTTCCAATGTAATACTTTTTCGGTTAATGTGGCTATTTATTGGACACTGATTTAAGTACTTCCATGCATTTATTTATTTATTTATTTCAGTTTGGAAAAGGACAATCATTTCGACACATTTTTTCAAGAAATTGTTTCTTCCTTAGAACCTTTTTTATCATGTTCTGAATCCTACAGCAGTGGTTTTCAGCTTTTCTCATCATGCATTCATATTCACCACTATTTCATAAAAAAAAAAGAAAAGAAACTATAGCTTTTGCAGGAGATTTCATCTATTTCCAGATAATCCATTAACAGTTCCTCCACACTGTACACTTGAAAACTGTTTTGCATGTGTATGCTATTTCGCCCCCAGTTTCGGTTCTCACTCTGTGACTAAATCAACTGAACTCAAACTAAACAATTTTCTAAAGGATGTTGAATTACAAAATAAATTCATTTGTGCATTATAGGAAACTTATCCTATAAGAGCCTCCTTTAAACATCAGCCTCACCCTTTTCAATCTTAAAAAATACCTTTGGAATTAAATTTACAGTTAGATGGGCTGCATATACTTTTGACATTGAACTAATAACAATTGTGCTGCCTATCTCACCATAAGTTTTTAAGTAACTTATAAATTTCAGAAAGGTCAGATTCACTAGAAAGCAGAGAAGAAAAAAGAACCTAGTTATGCTGCTCTGTAAGTCCATTGTGCGGCTACATCACTAAAGCCACCTGCAATTCTCACCTCCCTGTCTCAGGAAGAACGGATTGAGGAGACACTGGAAGTGCTAGCGTTCTCTATCTGAGCATTATTTCTCAGCCAAGGCCACTTTGGAATAGCTCTGGTTTTTAGAGCTCTGTAAGAGACACACTGCTGAGCTATGAGAACCCTTAGTCTGACTCAGAATGGCAGCTTCCTTTTCATTTTGTTAATGAAGCTGGTCTCCAGAAATTACAAGAAGCAGCTTCCTTTTCGTTTATCGCATTGCATCCTCACATGCATTCAGCTTTATTTTTGAGGCAATGGCCAGCTTTGGCCTAGCAGGTCTCTGGCTATTCTAAATTACATCAGGGTTGAGAGCACTGTAAATCAGGCAGGAAACTTTAATGCCACCTTTGGTCACAATGACCATCAATCCTTTATCCCCATTAGTCATAACTGGAATCCAGCCCAAGTGTCTGCAGTCTTAAGCAAGACATCATCTTTGATGGCCGGTTTCCCTCAGACTTGAACTCCTCCAGTGACAAAACAGTTCTCCTCTCCTGCAACCTATGGAGGTAAGAAAAAGCACTGAGAAATAGGATGTTTTCCATGAAAGATAATTTATATGCAAAAAACTGTGCTCCTGCTACAACCAGCAGTCTACGGTGGAATATTTTTAGGATATAGATAATTCTGGCTTAGTTCCACAAAATGAACGGTAGAGCTGCCTCAATTTAATTACCACCCCATGAAGAAATCTGACAGCCCCAATGCAGTGCTTAGTAAGCATTTTACCTCAGAGAGCCTGAAGATGTATTGTAGCACTGAAATTACAATACATACCATGACTTGTTCTGTCATCCTACTTTGGGAATGCAGCATGCTTGTCTCTATAATGAGCTGTCTGATATTCACCCACTTCACCTGTAGCAAACAGGAGTAAAACGTAAGTAACCATAAGTTGGCATATTAGTTAAATGCAAGCTAAAATATTCACGGTTTTTGGCAGAAGATTTTAGATTCTTCTATCTAGACACATGTAGTATATAATTTACTTACATTTACATTTTGAAAACAATCTGAATTTTCTAAATTTTTAATTATTACAATCAGGGGAAAAAACAAACTAACAAACAAACAAAAAAAACACAACCCCCCTACATTTCTGCTTATAGGATTCCTGGAAAATATTTTAAAGACATATTTGTTACTAACATATGATAAAATATGTATAACTTAAGGACACATATGTGCTTCAATTAAGAAAATTAACCCTGCAAGAAAAAATTTTCTCTGCTTAATTCAAAAACCAAAGAAGAAAAACATATATTTTTAAAAAAATCCAATAGGACACTTTATAAAGCTTACACTATGCCATTCTGTACCTTTTTTTAATAAAAATATTTATGCTTAAAAAGTGTGCTAGTCTGCACTTCTACAAATATAATTAAATTATGTACCTTTATTAAAAAACAAATCAAATCCATCTTGTTTCCAGCAGAAGAAAGATTGAAATTTATTTATTCATATGCAGTTTTACAGAGAATATTGAGAAGCTTTATTTTCTTTTAATTATGACATTACATTAGAATTGGAATGTGCCATCCTTCCTTTGGCTAAGCAATTTTTAAGAAGTGTGTGGAAAAGCAGTTTTAAGCCCAGGCTAAATTTTAAAACAACCACCCCACAGGAACTATTCATATCTATAAGAAGGCCCCCCTAGAGCATCCACAAAATCAGTGAATTTTCATTGACTTAATCATTGGCTTAACACCACTGTGAGTTAAGTGTCATAGGCTAAATAATGCTTAATGCCATCTCAGTAGCCATGAATTGTGGAATGAAGGAAAATAATACCTCACATCAGCCATAGCAATAGCATAAAAAACCAAAGAAACAAATAACAAACGAACAACAGAAAAAACCCAAACAACACCCTTTAAAATAGACTTAGTATAAATAAGTAAAAAAAAAAGAAATTAGATGATTCTTCCATTTCTCTTTTGGATTTTAAGAAAGTCATTGCAACAAACACTTACAGGTAAAAAATGAAGTTTCAGGTGATATAAAAACCTTGGAGTTCAGATCATACAAGTACAGCAATGTACACTATGGGTGACACTATCAGTGCCTATGCCTTTACGAAATTATTTTGAAGTTAATTTAAAATTTAGGATTAAAATACCTTTATCACCATGAAAATACCAATAATTCATGATATGATATGTCCATTTATGCTCAGCCTTCCTTTATCTGTTTACTTCACCTATGTTTGTTTAACCCAGCACTCTGTTCCCTGTGATTACCTCTGAACACGGCTTCAGATACTCAAAAGTAATTGTCTACTATAAAAAAATACATCAGAACACATTTTTGGCATTGTGTACTTAGCTGTTTCTGAAGACCAAGTCCTCCCTGAGATAGCTCAAATTAAGAATCTAAAAGCCAAAAGGTCAAGAATCCTAAAATGTTGAACGAAAACAAGACAAGTCAGATTATACAAAAAAAATCTGATACATAAAAGGTCAGGAGGAAAGATGATCCAATCCACAGATTTAAAAGTGCAAATATACTTGAGAAAGATCACTTGCTATATGATTTTTTTAAAAAAATTTTTTTAAAAATAACTGGAAACATCTGCAAGATAAAATATAGTTTGTCTTTACCAGATGTTGGCTCCCTTACAAACCCTATGTACAATTAATTAGCCATTAGTTTAAATTTCTCAAACTTTATTTTCTTTCTCTTACACAATATATCTCTTTTCATTTGTTTTAAAAATAGAAATGTTCCATCACCTTTCTTCAGGCTGATGGGGTTACTGAAAACAGAAGTACCTCAGGATTTAGAAAGCACTTTCCAGTCACTATTACTTGAAAGCAAGAGTTTTACTCTCAAAGAGGCATGATGTCCAAAAAAAAAAAAAAACAATACTCTGAACAAGGATGAAAAATTGTAAATTATTTTCACAGGCTCTTATTCTACAATGGAGAAAATATCCAGATTCTAGACAGGGTTCTTTGAAAAGAATATTTTCCTTTTATATAGAGATAAAAAGCAAAGCTTTCAGGTCAGAGGCTATAGGGGAAAAGAACTAATGTCTCCGCTGCTTTGATGTTACAAGTAGTCCCTCGCTGCAGAAGTGTATTAGAGCTACCAGTAAACTGATCCAGCATATTTAATAACCAGTTTCAGTATGGGTGGTACATGGATTATTCTGTACACAGCAAGCAGTCATGTGTATTACAAACAATACACAGACCTTTATTTTAACATGTTAACATTACTTTAAAACATAGTATAGCTCAAAGGTAATTTGTGATTTATAGATCCTATAGGAAGACCTCTCCTTATAAATGTATCTGAAGCAACTATAGGCAGCAAACTAGGATTAAGTGCTTCTCTCACAGTTACATGTAACACACATAATGGGGTTTGCACTTGCGAAAACAGAAAATTTCAAACTGTGAGTACTAAACATAACAGTGATGATTAATAGTATTTGGTGTCTCGGTTGGTTTTGAACCTGAAGAACTGCAGATTGGAGTAACCAGGCCAAAACAATGTGATCTGGTGCAACTCTCTCACAAATTCCTGGGAGCTGAAAGACCTAATGCACCAGCTTGCATTGGTCCTAATGCACCAATGCACCTAAAGGACTAATTTACTTACCAACTCACCTTTTGGAACAATACATCTCAAAATTCAGAATATGTTAGAATGACATAAATAAAGATTACCTTAAAAATCAATCAAAAATCTTAATTAAACTTCTGGTGCTATGTAGCACCAAACTGTATATATAAGAGATACCCTTAGAAAAAAATTGAATTATTTTTAACTTACTTTTTTTGTACCTATGTAAATTGAAATTTGCTAGGAGTAATAATCCTCAAATTTACAAAAATAATGTTTAGTCTCTTGAATATTTGATATACTCCAACAGACCACTACATACAATAAAATATAATTTCTGAGTGAGTTTTCTATAATTTGGAAAATTATGTTTGTTTGGATATTATTGAAATACTAATTGCTGACTTACTACTGATTATGCATGTATTAAAATTAAATTAATACTGTTTAGATACCCTGTAGTTTGAGCATTGCTTAGTAGACAAACAGAGAGATGGTTCATCAAAATCTCTCAAAAATATCAAGTAATCTGAAAGTTGAAATGTAATTACCCTGCGTTTAAACCACAGGCAGATAAACCCTGGCAACTTTTCTTCTGTAACAGCTCCAGATTTCAGCCAGAGGTCGGCCACTGCAAGAGGGGTAACAAAGGCTTGTGAAGGACTTGCAGCAGGGAGTTGCTGCAGGAAAGATGGAAAGGATTCAAAAGTAATAGAAAAACAGTAGAAATACTGGGAATGGGAAAGCGAAAAGAATCATGAGTTCAGGGGAAAGGAAAGAAAAAGGGAATAAAAAAAGCTAGATATATGAGGAGTAGGGATAAAGAAAAAAAACTGCAAGAAATGAAAAATGGGGAACCTTAAATAGAGAGGAACTAGGGAAATACCAGTTTCACTAAATGTTTCCTGGTACAGCAGCAAAGAAACAAATCATTCTCCCTATAGGTTCAGGTACCTGCCACAAAAAGTCCAGGAGGAGTTTTTGAGCCTGATTATTCTTAACAGATTTCCAAATTACATTTTTAGCTCTGTAAGTTTTATTTATAAATATATTTAAGATTAATGATTCACTGGAAATATTGGAGAACACACTGTCCTAAATAAGACCAGCTTTCCTGGTCAATTTTCATGTAGGTAAGATAGGTTTAAACTGATGATATTGGCTTCACAGTGCTATGAAATCACCCTGTCCCTCTATTGGAAGCTATGCCTCTAAAAGTAGAGCTGTGTGAAGGGAGCCCATCCTCTGTCCCTCCAGCTGTAAACCCGCTGTACCTTCTGAGGCAGTATAAACTCTTCAGCACATGGACATAAACACGTACTCTAAGGAAAATGAGTACAGCAGAAAAGGCTCACAAGCCCCACTGTCAGGAGCAGAGAGTTGTAAATCGGCCTCCAGTCCCACAGAGGCTCCATTCATTGGGGTATCTCCTGAAATGCATCACAGCTCTTAACAAGTAAAACAACAAAAATGCAGACCTACTTTTTCAGTGGGAGGTATGATGCACAAAGTTTACATTTTGCTTCTCTCAAATGACTGGAAGTGCCAAAGCTGTGATGGACCATGTCCTTTTTTGTGTTTCAACATGTGTTTTGGAAATCTCCAGATTTTTCCAGATGTTTCCAGACTGTGTTTTTAGTAATACAATTTTGAAACACTTATAACCTCTCTGCTCTGATCTGTAATTTTTTTCATCCTGCCTCCACACCAATTTCGGCCTTACTGCTGAAGTGTCTGAGCATTGGCAGGGTGGGTTCCCCAGTCCCTTTTTCTTTTTGTACGTCAGTGTAACTCCATCAAGATCGTAATGCTTTTTAGATTCATTTTCTCCCCTTTCTTTTGGAGAGTCTGTATGTGGAACCCATTCTAGCTCCTCAAACAGGACCAGAAGTAGCAGGTGCAGGTTTCCAGGTGGGAACTAAGCTGGATGATTTTGGGTACAACTCATAGCAATGTAGGGCGCAGACATAGGGATCCCCAGCAGGTTGGTGTGCTTTGTCCCCCAAAACATTTCTTTTTTTGCTCTTGTTTAGTCTTCAACAATGAGCCACTGGGAACAAAAATCACCAGGTGCATGTGTTTGGAGGAAAAAGAAAAAACAAACAAACAAAAAAAACCAATACCACAAGAAAAGGCTCTACTGCTAACAAGAAATAGCGAGGAGAGTTTTCTTTAGAAAGCCATGTGACTTATAAACAATATACTACTGCCATGTGTTTAAAAAGAACAAGGTCACTAGTGAGAAAGAAACTGTTATTCTTAAAAGACAAAGTCAGGAGATACAAAAGGGCATACATCATTTCCCTCTGAAATTGTATGATAAAATGACAGCAAAAATCAGCTTAGAAGCAACACGTGAACTAGCCTTCTGTTCCCCCTGCTCTCTTCCTTCCAAGACTAAATGGATCTGTGTCTCTCTTTTGTCACATTGTTGTAACTTTCATTCAGTCTCCCCACTTCACCTTGACCGCATCTGAGCAGTGACAATATGTTTCTTGTTCTTCACACTTTTCCCAGCAAGGATCACTGACAGCCTCTTACTTTGTATTTTCTCAGCTTTTGAGGCAGTGATTTTTTTTTTCCTCCTTTTTCCCCCAGCCATCATCATTGCTATTTGGAGAGAATTTGGTTCAATTTCCATTTTAAACATGAAACGTTTGAATTAGCTCGTAAAGTCTCCCAGCTTGCAGAGGAAAGAGCTGGTCTTTAAAAAGGGGGGGAAAAAGTTATTTTTTGCAAAATAAGAAGTGAAAAGCTGCAGAATAATCTTAAATCATTTTATACTGCACAGAAAACTTGAAAATAATGAGAGCTCTTCAATTTGGAAATGATTTGGGTTCTAGGAATATGAATCAGAGAGAGCTGTAAAATTATTAGAACACTACAACATATTTCGTAGGCATTGCAATTCAGAAGTGATCAAAGATTCTGGACTTGCAGAGCAATTTACTTGGCATTTGCAGGAAAGCCTTACTCTTTAAAACTGAAGCACTCTTAACAATATGAAGAACTCCAATAATTTTAAATTGATGTATACCATACATGCCCAGAAATCCAATTTAGGTTTTAAATAAAAACATTATAACTTCAGAAGTATGAAGAGCCCACCCACAACATAACAGCAATCTAGCCTTTCCAATTCACATGTCAGTTCAGCCTAGCTCTTATTTCTTCCACTCTTGGCTTTTCTGGCATGAGGAACTGTTGAAAACATTAGAGATGAGTATTTTTTTTTTCTTTTAATCCTTGCCTTCTGATATAAAGCCTTAGTTTGCAATTTGATTTGCAAGGTCTGAATGGTACTTTTAAAGACTTTTAAATACTGTAGATTAAAAACACAAGAAAATGTTTAAGCCAAATCAATGACTTACTATGTTCCCAACCAAAACTTTAATTCAGATGAGTTTGTTTGTAAACAATATATTTTTTTTTCAATTTAGCTGAGCTTAAATTTGCAAATAGCTATTACTAATGAAAATATAGAGTACACTGAGTTCTAAAACAATATTGATAGAACAGGAAAACAAAATTAAATTTTAAAAATTATATCTCAATTGTACATGAAAAAAATAATTGTTAAAAGTCCCTTGAGTGAGAGAGGGTCTGTGTTGTCCCAGCAGATCCTCTGCTGCCTCCATGCAAATCGTCCTGCTATGCAAAACAGACTCCTATCACCAGACTACTTGTGAAGCCTCTCAGTTTTGCACAGCAGGCAACCACCTCTCCAATCATAGTCACCAAACCTGAAACCCTTTCTGTAGCCCAGAAGGCTTGTAAGTGGTTACATAAGAGCTGCAGTCAAAAAAACTTAGGGTTTTTTTTCCTTATTGACACAGAAGCAGGATTGTGTGACGCATATAGGAGGCAGTCAGTGATATGAGCTGTTGCCATCCAGTTCTGAAAGTATCCCATTCTGTCCTAACTTGGTGTTATAAAGACATCAACACAAAATTGAATAGACCTTGATAATGCTGAGGAGCACTGGTGCACCAGAAACAAGAAGGTGGAAGGAATCGATGAGTTAGGGTGCCCACAAATGTTTCCCTCGGGCTTTAAAAGCACACAGAAGTTTTTTTACTTCACACAGTGATGGATGGAAAAGCTCCAGACAGTATAATCAACTTTTGTCACAAATGGATAAGACTTGCTGCCATTATTTTAGATTTAACCACCTGAAAGTAGCTTCTTCAATGTACAGCATACTAAAATACTTTTAACTGGTGAAGAGCTTCTGAAAGTCATCTGGTGCAACTCCTAACTAAACAGAGAACCAGCACAGATCAGGTTGCTTAGGATTTTGTACAGTCAATATCTGAATATCTCCAAGAATGCAGTTTTATAAATCGCTAATACTTCATGTTCTTCATCTTTTAAATGACAGTATTCTAAAATAAGGAAATTTTGAATTTTCTACCTGAGAATTTGATAATCAGGTCTGTTTCTAAGGATAGAACATATCTATGAAATATTTATGTGATGTAAACCAATGCAGGTGCCCTTGAATGTTTTTAGTACTACTGGAGTTCATGTGATCTATGATAAGAATTCTGTTCTGTTCCCCATAGGTTATAGCTTAGCCTCAAGACTTTGTGGATGTGTGACTTAGTGTGAATTTAGAAGAGACTATGATGTCTATAAACCCTTACAAAATCTCACACACACACAAAAGTATTAGTAGATTTCTACCTCAAACTATGCCAGGCTCACTGTCAGACAGCAAAAGTTCTTACAAGTATCCATCATAATGTTCTCAGGATTATAAAATTAATGTAGCCCCTTGTGGTGCAGACTGACAAAAGCTAGTAGAGAATGCATTTTAAAGAATGCATCATCTTTCCTTGAAAATAAAAAAGTACACTAAACCTCTACATAATCTTTTAAATAATGAAACCTGAAGTATCTCTAACTGGACAAATGTGTGACAAAGCTTGAGGACCCAGTCACAACTGTTAGACACAAAATTGCATGTTTCAGATGCACCTTAATTATTTTCTACCAGATTTGACTTTCCTATATTTGCTTTGTGTGAAGTTGAAAACAAACTTGTTTTGGAAATGTTAGAAGAGGAACAGGGGTCATGGGAAACTACCTACATGTTTACTATTAAACGTAGATGCAGTCTGAAAAAGATGAGACATTACCAATAAACAAATATCTTCCAATGCCTCAATTCTTAAAAATTTTAACTACAGTCTTAAATGACATTTAAATGTATTTAATGTATATAATTTAATTCAGAAAAAAAAACTCTTTTAGCTTACTATAGCATTTAACTTGGATGCTTACCTACTGAAATAAACTATATGTGAGACAAATGTGTTCCTATCATCCAGGAAGCTGTTTTTGGGCACTGTTTTGTAAGACAAAGTTGTTCTAATAAAAAAATTTTAAAAAATAGTAGTTGATGCTATTACTACTATTTTGTGTAGTAGCCTGATGACTCCTATTATTTTTGAGCCAAAATCTCGAAATGTTCATGGCATGACAAAAATCTAGAAGTCCTAATCTATAGATAACATTTCAGTTTCCTCAGCATTAAAGATTATTGTTCTGCTTTGAGTAGTTCAGTCAGGTAATTAAGATTTCCTTTTATGCACACAGAATCTATCTGAAATCAGCTTTCTTCAGCCT